TCCCAAATAAGGAACAGTGTGGGTAGAGAACAGCTGTTGGTCCCTGCTGTAGTAGTGCTAAACTTGCTCTGTTTTCAATACATATCAGTGCAAGAAAGTCACAAACTGGGAAGAAGAGTCTGTTCAGAAACACTTGTCCCGACAAGCTGGGGACCACTAGGATTCCTGTTAGTTAACCTTTGGGAAAGAATTGGTTTGTCCCCTTAAGCATTTATTGCTATCCTCTGACTTAGCACTAGATTGGACACAAAAATGGGTTTTGATGTAAATACTCTTGGTGTGTTGCTGCTTTTGAGATGGAGTAACAAGTTCCTTGTCACCCTCTTACAGCCAAAGTGGGCTCTTTCAACCTTTTAACATAATGATTGGGTGAATGCTGTATGCATGAGTTCACTGTCATGATTTACAAGGTTAATCTTTTATTCAAATATTTGTTACTTTTGAATTCTTGCACTCAGGTTGTACGAGGACACTATAAAGGTCAGCAGATTGGCAAAGTAGTCCAGGTTTACAGGAAGAAATACGTAATCTACATTGAACGGGTGCAGCGGGAAAAGGCTAATGGCACAACTGTCCATGTAGGCATTCACCCCAGCAAGGTAGGTGTTGTTCAGAATGCTGGAGAAAAGGAAATTATGGCAATTATTGTTGACACGTTATTGTTTACAGAGCATGCCCATAGAAATAGTCCTTGATTTTAAATGTGCTAGAAAAAAATGTCTTGCCGGGCGCGGTGGCTCAAGCCTGTAATCCCAGCACTTTGGGAGGCCGAGGCAGGTGGATCACGAGGTCAAGAGATCGAGACCATCCTGGTCAACATGGTGAAACCCTGTCTCTACTAAAAATATAAAAAAAAATTAGCTGGGCATGGTGGCGCGTGCCTGTAATCCCAGCTCCTCAGGAGGCTGAGGCAGGAGAATTGCCTGAACCCAGGAGGCGGAGGTTGCGGTGAGCCGAGATCGCGCCATTGCACTCCAGCCTGGGTAACAACAGGGAAACTCCGTCTCAAAAAAAAAAAAAAAAAATGTCTTAAATACTACTGCATTTGTATTGAAAATTCTATTGTATTGAAACATTTAAAATGTTTCTGAAATCAAAGTGTCTTTAACAGTCATTATGTATATCTTTTTTTTTTCCTTCTTTTTCTCTTTTGAGACACAGTCTCACTTTGTCACCCAGGGTGGAGTGCAATGGTGCGATCTCAGCTCACTGCAACTTCTGCCTCCCGAGTTCAAGCAGGCATGCACTGCCACACCTGGCTAATTTTTGTATTTTTTAGTAGAGATGAGGTTTCACCATGTTGGCCAGACTGGTCTGACCTTGGGTGATCTGCCTGCTTTGGCTTCCCAAAATCTGGGAAGGGAAATGGCACTTTGGCCCTCTTGAGGTTTTTTTTTAATCTTTTTTATTTATTTAGGGAGACGGAGTCTCACTCTGTCTCCCAGGCTGGAGTGCAAGTGGCAGAGTCTCGACTCACTGCAACCTCCACCTCCTAGGTTCAAGCAATTCTGCCTGAGCCTCCTGAGTAGCTGGGACTACAGGAGGTAGGTCCCACCATGCCCAGCTAATTTTTTCTTTTTTCTTTTTTCGGTAGAGATGGGATTTCTCCATGTGGGCCAGGCTGGTCTCCAGGTCCTGACCTCAGTGATTCACCCACCTCAGCCTCCCAAATTGCTGCAATTAACAAGCATGAGCTGAGCCATAGCACCTGGCCTCCTGTATTAGAATTCAGCAGTAAGGCATCTTTACAACCCTGAGAAATAGGTATGAAACCATTTACAGATGTTTGAAGAAAAATAAAAGCAAAACCCAAAACTCAGAGGTTAAGATCCCAGGAATAGTGATTATGTCTAAGCCAAGATAGAAAATCTGATTCTAAGCCAAGATAGAAAATCTGATTTGATTCCTGTAGCAGCAGATGCTTGCCTTGGATTTTTATGTGAATTCTCCCCAAAATTGTAATTGCTCGTAATTAATGCAAAAATTTATCCTGTTTCTCCACTCCCAGTGAATTTACTAAAAAAGGATCATGACATTCACCTGTAATTACTTCAGTGTGTATCTCTTAGGACTAAGGACTTTCCCACTCCTTAACCTGCTCCAGTCATATTTTTGCTTCCCATCACCAGATCAGTTGTTTTAGGTCACCAAGCAGATTCTTAGTCTTATTGTGCTGTACATGTTAGTGCAGCATGTGATGGTCAATCTTTGAGTAACTCAATAGTCATCTTCATATTTCATTCCAGTCTTAGGACTTAAAATGTCTAGAATCTCCTCTTCCCCTAAACCCAATATCCAATTGCCAATTGTGCAGTTCAACTTAGATATCTTAGTAAGTATCCCAAACTTGGCATGTTCAAACCACCACAGTGTATGGCAGCTATCTTCCTAATTGTTCAGGCCAAAATGTCAGTAAATATTTATTTATTTTAATGCAGGCTCTTGCAATGTTGCCCAAAACCTAAGCCTCCCAAAGTGTTGAGATTTTAGGCGTGAACCACCATGTCCAACCAAAAATGTCATTTTGACTGATGATGTACCCCACATCAGTTTATAAGGTCTGTGGACTACTGTCTCAATACCTCAAATTCTGTCTGCTCTTTGCCATCACATTGGCTTATAAGACTTTAACTGATGTGGCCAGATGGAGTGGCTCATGCCTATAATCCCAGCACTTTGGGAGACTGAGGCAGGCAGATCACCTGAGGTCAGGAGTTCAAAACAAGCCTGACCAACATGGTAAAACCCCATCTCTACTAAAAATACAAAAAAAAAAAAAAAAAAAAAGCTCGGCATGGTGGCAGGTGCCTGTAATCCCAGCTACTTGGGAGGCTGTGGCAGGAGAATCGTTTGAACCTGGGAGGCAGAGGTTTCAGAGAGCCGAGATGGCGCAATTGCACTCCAGCCTGGGAAAGAAGAGTGAAACTCCATCTCAAAAAAAAAATGACTTTGATTTTCCTTCACTTCTGACATCTTTTTTCATTCTATGTGTTCCAGTCTGCTGGACCTAGGAACTTGGTAGAATTATAAATTCTAGGAGCCGAGGCCTAGTGAGGCAGAATTAGGGTTTGTGACCCAGGTGTCAGTTTCAACAAGCCCTCCAGTTGATTCTTACTCATGTTTAGGAAACACACCTGTGAAACTTTATAATCTCTTGCCTTTGGACCTTTCAGCTTGCTGTTCTCTTCCAGATACTTCTACATAGATAGATGGCTCACCACTTTAGGTCTCTTCAGATGTGGCTTTATTAGTAGGGCTTTTCCTGGTCACTCTAGAAAGCCCCTCAGCTTCCTCACTTGCCTTTTTTATCAAAGTGATGTACATTCACTGATAAGTTATCAGTCTCCCTATAGCGGTATGTGAGTTCCGCAACAGCAGAGATTGATTGGTCAGCATGCTGTATTTCCAGCACCTCTTTTCAGCCTTCCGTGGCCTTCGTAAGACTAAAGTTTATCATAATTTGGATGTCTTTTAGGATTTGAACTGTTGGAATAAGATCTGTATTGTCATCTTCTCCCTAAAGATTTTGCAGGTGGAATTACCTGTGAATGCTATGTTTAATTTCTAACATTAAAATTCTGAAGTTACTTTATAATCTTTCTGTTTTAGGGTGTTGGTTTTTGTTTGTTTTGTTGTTGGTTTTCGAGAGTTTTGCTTTTGTCACCCAGCCTGGAAGTGCAATGGTGCATTCCCAGCTCACTGCAACCTCTGCTTCCTGGGTTCAAACAATTCTCCCGTCTCAGTCTCCTGAGTAGCTGGGTTACAGGCATTCACCACCACGTGTGGCTAATTTTGTTGGTTGATTCTCACTTGGTGGCCCAGGCTGGAGTGCAGTGGCATGATCTCAGCTCACTGCAGCCTCAGCCTCCCAGGTAGCTGGAATTACAGGCACGCACCACCACGCCCCGCTAATTTTCGTATTTTTAGTAGAGGCAGGGTTTTACCATGTTGGCCAGGGTTGTCTGCCTGCCTCTGCCTCCGAAAGTGCTGGGATTGGGTGCTTGAGCCACCACACCCAGCCTGAAATTACTTTATAAAAAAATAGATTTGTGTATGACAGTTTGTAAGACTGTCATGACAAAAGCAGAATGAATTGTATAATATTTTTCACTAAAAAACATAATGAAGCACAGAAGAGGCTACAATAAGAATTACTGATGCCATCTTGCCTTTTCTCCTTTGTTGGTAGGAAATTAGTAAATATTTAAGCCCGGTTTGATGACTAAAGAGTAATTTCCGGAGTTTTTAAAAAGTTAATTTCTTCTTTAGGCATCCACTGCCTCAGGTGTGGGAAGTGGTATTAAATGTTGGGCTTTCCCGTGTGTCTTGGTGGTTATTTAAAGCTTGGGAGTGTTTTTTTCTGATTTTTCTGCAGGTGGTTATCACTAGGCTAAAACTGGACAAAGACCGCAAAAAGATCCTTGAACGGAAAGCCAAATCTCGCCAAGTAGGAAAGGAAAAGGGCAAATACAAGGAAGAAACAATTGAGAAGATGCAGGAATAAAGGAATCTTGTATACAAGCTTTGATTAAAACTTGAAACGAGGAGTCTGTGTTTTGTGTGTGGTGATTTAGGGCACTTCTTTACAGTGGGCAGCAGCATTTCAGCCTATGTCAATAGCTAGGGGGGTCTCATTGAGAAGGCGGCCTATAAGAAAACCTAGTTGGAAACACTTCCTCTTCTTGAACCTGTCTTTTAACTTTCTTCCTATGGATAGACTGCTATATGGACAGCCAGCCTATATTTTTTACCTTACTGCATAAACGTTTGTATTGCCATTGGAAAGGAGGTCTTGCTTTCAATAGAAGCAGCAGCTTCTGTGACTTCCTGTAGCATCTAGATTACTTATTCAAGCTGTTACTCTAGAGTGAGAGGCCTCAGGTTCAAGTTCTCTGGTCTATCCATGGGGGCCCCCTTCACCGTGTTTTCTACCAAGTGATTGAGTGCTGTGAGACCAAAACCTAAAATTTTTAGTTGAAATAATGAAATACTGATCTAAAATGCAGTTTCGGCAGGATGCAGTGAAAAGGTATGGGGTGGCAGCACTGTGTGTGCTCCCGCTATGCCTCGTTTTAAGGATCAAAACAACATACATACTTTGCAGGTTGGAGGCTTTGCAGCAATGTGGAAACGGCCCTAGTTAAGTCACTGGCCTGGCCAAGGTTACAGCTGTCGTCTAGGTGGGAGCGTTGCTCGGTGTCCCCAACGCTGTCCTGGCTGGGGGAAGCCCGCAGCGGCCCCTTCTCCGCGTCGCCTCGGGGGGGCGGGACTTCCGGCCGGCGCTGATCGGCTTCCGGCGGAGGGTTCCGGAGGTGTGGCTGCCCGCGGACGTGTAGGTGGAGCGGGATCCAGATGCCGCTTCCTCCGGTGTGTCCCTTTCTCCATCGCCTGCCAGTCTCAGCCGTTCAGCCCTGATCTGGCGGGGCTCGGACGCGTGGATCCAGGCGGTGGGAGCGGTCTGCGATGTCAGGGTGGGAAGGCTGCACAAAGGAGGCGACGCCCCAGCCCGGTGCTCAGGAGTAAGTGGGCGTGCCCATGTGGTGGGGATGGTGCGGGCACCTTGTATTAGGTGCTTTATCTGCATTATCATTGAATTTTCTTTTTTTTCTTTTTTTTTTTTTTTTTTTTTTTTTTGAGACAGAGTTTCGCTCTTGTTACCCAGGCTGGAGTGCAATGGCGCGATCTTGGCTCACCGCAACCTCCGCCTCCTGGGTTCAGGCAATTCTCCTGCCTCAGCCTCCTGAGTAGCTGGGATTACAGGCACGAGCCACCATGCCCAGCTAATTTTTTTGTATTTGTAGTAGAGACGGGGTTTCACCATGTTGACCAGGATGGTCTCGATCTCTTGACCTCGTGATCCACCCGCCTCGGCCTCCCAAAGTGCTGGGATTACAGGCTTGAGCCACCGCGCCCGGCTTATCATTGAATTTTCATAGCAATCGATTGTGATGGGTACTGGTCATCTCCCCGTGTTGTAGATGAGGAAACTGAGGCCCAAGTAACTGCTTTAGTCTGTAATGGTAAGAGTCAGAAAATGATTTCCCAAGCGTAGACTCAGCCATACCGCTGCTGACTCGCTAAAGACCTGCCTATAAGCGACATTTTAAACTAAATGTCCTTTGAACATCTTTTGTGCTCGGCTCTATTCGTGGACCCTCCGAGGGAGTACAGGCAGGTAGAAGCCTCCGTCCCTACCTTCTAGGTTGTAAACATCTGAACTGGTCTACTAAAGATGCCAAGCAAAGTGCTCCAGTGAATGGTACAGGTTATTGAGAGAGGAAGGAGAGATGGCAGTCAGCTGAAGTTACTGAATATGTCAGGGAGGAGGCTGATTTCAGCTGACAGTGATTTGGAAGATCAATGCGAGGACATTCCCAGTCGGAAACAGCCAAGGCAAAGACTCACAGGTGGGTGAAGGGAGTAAACATGGCTTTGGAAGTATTTCCAGTTTTCTCCAACCAACTCGGTTATCACTTAGCCATCAGCACAGATCACACCAGGAAGCTAATTGATTTAGGGTCACATTTCTTTGATGTTGCTTTTGGAAAAGGTGCTGAAGCCTAGGCAACATGAGAGTCCGTAACTACAAAAAAAAAAAAAAAAAAAATTGGCCGGGCGTGGTGGCTCACGCCTGTAATCCCAGCACTTTGGGAGGCCGAGGCGGGTGGATCACAAGGTCAAGAGATCAAGACCATCCTGGTCAACATGGTGAAACCCCGTCTCTACTAAAAACACAAAAAATTAGCTGGGCATGGTAATCCCAGCTACTCAGGAGGTTGAGGCAGGAGAATTGCCTGAACCCAGGAGGCGGAGGTTGCAGTGAACCGAGATCGTGCCATTGCACTCCAGCCTGGGTAACAAGAGCGAAACTCCGTCTCAAAAAAAAAAAAAAAAAAATTAGCCTGGCCTGGTGATGCCTGCCTGTAGTCCCAGCTACTGGGGAGGCTGAGGTGGGAGGATGCCTTGACCCTGGGAGTTTGAGGCTGTGAGCGGTGATCTTGCCACTGAACTCCAGCCTGGGTGACAAAGTGAGATCTTATCTCAAAAAAAAGAAAAAAACATACTGAAAGCTTAGAAATCTGCAGGAGTGGACAAATAAGATGAATAGGTTAGTAGATCCCTTAGAGATTATGGGAAGCAAGAGAGTCCAGACTCCATCTAAAGCAGGGGTGTCCAGTCTTTTGGCTTCCCTGCCACATTGGAAGAAGAAGAATTGTCTTGGGCCTCAAATAAAACACCCCAACACAAAAGATACCTGATGAGCTTTAAAAAAAAAACTGCAAAAATATTTTAAGAAAGTTTATGAATTTGTGTCTGGCTGCATTTAAAGGCATCCGGGGCTGCATGCAGCAAACAGGCTGCAGGTTGGACAAGCTTGATCCAAAGGAGGATGCTGCCTCTCCATTACAGCCAGTTATTGCCAGGCAACCATGCCCCCAGGGCAGCCAGAACTTCTTTTCAAAAAAGCCAGAAATTGAGATTTTTTTTTTATGTGAAATCTCCCAACCTGTAATTAGAGGTGAATCATTCAAATTTTTTTAAATCACTAGATGGACCAACCAAAATAGGTCTATTAGATAATTGTGGCCCTTCGACTATACTGTAGTATTTCATGGTACAGTAAGGACTGTATCTCTTACTAAAGACTGAGATTTTGCATCTTTTGATTATAAATTGTTTGTAGCCTGTTGCCTTCATTCTTTTTTCTTTTCTTTTCTTTTTAGAGACAGGATCTCATTACGTCGACTAGGTTGGTCATGAACTACTGGCCTCAAGCAATCCTCCCACCTTGACCTCCCAAAGTGTTAGGATTACAGGCGTAAGCCACCATGCCCAATTGCCTTCATTCTTTTATAGAATGAAGAGGAGGCTTTCCCTTCGGTTGCAGTCCCCTGAGGGACTCAAAGAGCAACCAACACAGTACTCTAGTTCTGAGAGATGTTGGTTTCAGAAAGGAATCTGGAAGGTGCTCTTCCTGGATTCCATTGATTACCTTGTGGTTTCAAGTCTGTTAGAACTAGTAGGACTGGCCGGGTGTGCTGGCTCATGCCTGTAATCCCAACACTTTGGGAGGCCAAGATGGGCAGATCACTTGAAGCCAGAAGTCAAGACCAGCCTAGCCAACATGGCGAAACCTCATCTCTACTAAAAATACAAAAATTAGCTGGGTGTGGTGGTGTACCCAGTGTTAAAAAAAAAAAAAAATAGTAATACCATAGGATGGTAATAGGTATTCTTTGGGAAACAAAGTCCTGTGTCAATTCTTTACTGCAGGACTTCTTAGAGGCTATTTTTTTCTTTTCTTTTTTTTTTTTTTTTTGAGATGGAGTCTCACTCTGTCACCCAGTCTGGAGTGCTATGGCCCAATCTCAGCTCACCGCAGCCTCTGCCTCCTGGGTTCAAAGGATTCTTCTGCCTCAGCTCCCTGAGTAGCTGGGACTACAGGCACGTACCACCTTATCTGACTAATTTTTGTATTTTTAGTAGAGATGGGGTTTCAACATGTTGGCCAGACTGGTCTTGAATTCCCAACCTCAGGTGGTTTGCCCACCTTGCCCTCCCAAAGTACTGGATTACAGGTGTGAACCACCATGCCCAGCCTCAGAGCCTTTGATAAATCAGTTTGCAAAAGATCTTGAACACAGGCTTAGAGTAAAGAACATTTTGCAAATGTGCAATTTCTTCAATTCTGCAAGGCACAGTGCCTCAAGCCTGTAATCCTAGCACTTTGGGAGGCTGAGGCAGGTGGATCAGTTGAGCCTAGGAGTTTGAGACCAGCCTAGGCTTTCTGCAGCATGGCAAAACCCCATCTCTATCAAAAATACAAAAAAGAAAACAAAAATGCATATTTTTCACATATTAAAATTTGAATGTCTTAATACATTTTCTTCTCAAAGTTGTCATTAAGTCAGTGGTTTGATAATTAGCAATGTCTTAGAATCAGGAGTCTTCATGATTAACCTGTAATGCTGAGGAAGGGAATTTGAAGCCCTTGTAGTAGAGGACCTTCAGGACTTGGAAGCAGGTCCAACTTAACCGAGACTCCTGCTCAGAGCTTTTAACAGTTTCCATCTTTCTCTGCTCAGGATTCTGCCCTGCCCCTCAGCTCTGCATCTGACAGCTGGGATCTTGGGATCCTGTTTTCCTAAGCTTGCTGGAATTCCTGCAGTCCTCAAGTGAACTCCCTTGGCCTTATCACCATCCTGTCTTAGTGCTGTTCTAACTAAGGAATCCCAGTTTAGACAACTGAGTATCAAGTTCTCCTTCTAAGGAATTATCTGATCACAGTGGCATATGGGCTCCATTTGGGATATCTCTTTTCTGCATGATAATCTCCTGACATATCTCTGTGTACACAGACATAATATTTCCATTGGAAACAGATCCTGCCACCCCTATTAAGAGCATCAAGCCTGACCTAGACATAGAAATTCCATTTGACCCAGCAATCCCATTACTGGGTATATATCTAAAGGATTCTAAATCATTCTACTATAAGGACACATGTACAAGAATGTTCATTGCAGCACTGTTTACAATAGCAAAGACCTGGACCAACCCAAATGCCCATTGATGATAGACTGGACAGGGAAAATGTAGCACATATACACCGTGGAATACTATGCAGCCGTCAAAAACGATGAGTTCGTGTCCTTTGAGGGACATGGATGAACTTGGAAACCATCATTCTCAGCAAACTGACACAAGAACAGAAAATCAAACACCACATGTTCTCACTCATAGGTGGGTGTTGAACAATGAGAACACGTGGGCACAGGGAGGGGAGCATGACACACAGGGGTCTGTAGGGGGGAAATAGGGGAGGGACAGCAGGGGGTGGGGAGTTGGGGAGAGATGGCATGGGGAGAAATGCCAGATACAGGTGATGGGGAGGAAGGCAGCACATCACACTGCCATGTGTGTACCTATGCAACAATCTTGCATGTTCTTCACATGTACCCCAAAACCCAAAATGCAATTTTTTTTTTTTTTTTTTGAGACAGAGTTTCACTCTTGTTACCCAGGCTGGAGTGCAATGGCGCAATCCTCGGCTCACTGCAACCTCCGCCTCCTGGGTTCAGGCAATTCTCCTGCCTCAGCCTCCTGAGTAGCTGGGATTGCAGACACGCGCCACCATGCCCAGCTAATTTTTTTGTATTTTTAGTAGAGACGGAGTTTCACCATGTTGACCAGGATGGTCTCGATCTCTTGACCTCGTGATCCACCCGCCTCGGCCTCCCAAAATGCTGGGATTACAGGCTTGAGCCACCGCGCCCGGCCCCTAAAATGCAATTTTTAAAAATTGAGGAAAAAAAAAAAAAAAAGAGCATCAAGCCTGTACCTGAAAGCATCTCCTGACCTTGGAGTGCCCAGGTTCACTTGGACTCTGCTTTATTCTGGAAATATCAATTCATTGGCTGCAGCTGTGGCAGCATCAAAACAGGCCAGACTGATAGACCCCCCAGGAAAGCAAAACTTTCCCTCATCCATGAAGCTGTAGTCATTGTGTTGGACATGAGACCTATTTCTTATTTCTTCCATTTATTCACCTGACTTGCTTTCAGAGTCCTTTATGCTGCACGCCTTCATTCCTGGTGCCCTCTCGTCTCTTCTCCAGTCCTGCTGAAGCTGCTCCTTAGCCCAGGCCCTATGACAGCAGCCAGCATTGTTTCCAGAGGCAGCAGCATTTGAAGATATGACCAAAGATTGGAATTATTTAGAAGCCTCTCAAAAGGATTACTACAGGGACACAATGCTGGACAGTTATGAGAACATTGTCCCACAGGGTAAGGGCTCAGAATCTCCCTTCATTAATCCTGTAGACAATTGTCGAGGGGAAACCAGTCATTTTAAAAGATCCCCACAGCTTTCTTCTTGATTCCCCCAACATAAAGACAGATTCTTCAGCCATAAAAAATTGTGTTGTTGTTGTTGTTGTTACTGTTGTTTTGTCTTTTTTTTTTTTGGATACAGTCTCACTTTGTCTCCCAGGCTGGAGTGCAATGGCATGACCTCAGCTCACCGCAACCTCTGCCTCCCGGGTTCAAGCAATTCTCCTGGGTCAGCCTCCCAAGTAGCTGGAATTACTGGCTCCTGCCACCACATCTGGCTGACTTTTGTATTTTCAGTAGAGACAAGGTTTCACCATGTTGGCTAGGCTGGTCTCAAACTCCTGACCTCAAGTGATTCGCCAGCTTGGCCTCCCAAAGTGCTGGGATTACAGGCATGAGCCACTGCACCCAGCCAAGAAATTGTTTCTGTTGATTATGGGAAGGCTCAGAAGCAATCACTGGTATTAATTTCAGTTTAAGAGTTTGCTGTTAATTAGCCAGGTGTGGTGGCACATGCCTGTAATCCCGGCTACTCAGGTGGCTGAGGCAGGAGAATCACTTGAACCCAAGTTGCAGCGAGCCGAGATTACACCATTGCACTCCAGCCTGGGCAACAGGGCAGGACTCCACCTCAAAAAAAAAAGAAAGAAAGAAAGAAAAAGTTTGCTGTTATTATATGGTACCTTTTAGCCGTGTTCTCCCATTTATATTATTTTAAGGGATATTAAGGGTAAGATTTTAGTCTGCTGCCTTAGGAGTTTCTGTTTATCCTCTCTCCTGTTCAATTAATAATAACCAGTTGATTAGGTTTCATGCTATAAGCTGACCGCTTCATTGTTTTTTCTGTTCACCTGAAGTCTAAAACCTCTACATATTTGTGATCTTACTGATGTCAAATTCTATTGCCGTGCTCTGGTTTTGGATGGTTCTAGTTGGCTTTCTAGCTGCTTTACACTATATTCTATTATCATTCTTCCATGTAGTCATCTTCAAAAATTAGCTGAAAGAATTGAGGAACGTTAGAGGGAAAGCCTTCCAGGTGGGAGTGTCAGTGAATTTAACTTTGTTCTCTTCCTTTCTTAGGATCCTTCTTACAGTTCTCCATGATGCCTCAGAGAGCTGGAAATGATCCACCTGGGGCTTCAAATGCAAGTGAAATGGAAATGGAGATAAGTAACATGAGAGAAAAGTTTCTTATGAGTGTAACAAAGTTAGTAGAAAGCAAAAGTTACAACAGCAAGGTATTTTCCAAAGAAAAGTACTTTCAAACAATAAAGGAAGTTAAAGAAGCTAAAGAAAAAGGGAAGAAGTCATCACGTGATTATCGCCGTGCTGCAAAATACGATGTGATCTCTGTGCAGGGCACAGAGAAATTGATAGAGGCTACTCATGGAGAACGAGATCGAATACGGTATTATGTGCATAAAGAAGAATTGTTTGATATTCTGCATGACACACATCTCAGAATTGGACATGGTGGGCGGACACGCATGCTCAAGGAGCTGCAGGGAAAATACGGGAATGTCACCAAAGAAGTTATTGTCTTATATCTGACTCTGTGTAAACAGTGCCATCAGAAGAACCCAGTACCCAAGAGAGGCCTTGCGCCCAAGCCCATGACTTTTAAGGACATAGACTCCACATGCCAAGTTGAAATACTTGACATGCAGTCAAGTGCCGATGGTGAGTTCAAGTTCATTTTATACTACCAAGACCACTTGACCAAGTTTATTATTTTACGGCCATTAAAAAGCAAACAGACCCATGAGGTGGTGAGTGTTTTGTTAGATATTTTCACAATTCTTGGTACACCCAGTGTGTTAGACTCCGACAGTGGCATTGAGTTCACAAACCCGGTTGTTCGTGAGCTCAATGAGTTGTGGCCAGACCTAAGGATTGTGTCCGGTAAGCACCACCCTGGCCACATCCAGGGCTCCCTGGAAGGAGCAAGCCATGATATAAAGAACATGATAAGTGCCTGGATGCAGAGTAACTACTCACGTCACTGGGCCAAAGGCCTCCGATTCGTGCAGATGGTGAGGAATCAGGCTTTCGACGTTTCCTTGCAGCAAAGTCCATTTGAGGCAATGTTTGGTTGTAAAGCGAAATTTGGGCTATATTCCTCAAACTTGCCTCGGGAAACTGTGGCTACTTTACAAACAGAAGAAGAGCTAGAAATTGCTGAAGAACAGCTAGAAAATAGCCTTTGGATCAGGCAGGAAGAAAGGGCTGAGATTGGAGCAGACAGATCTGATATGGATGATGACATTGATCCTACTCCTGAAGCTACAGAACCCAGCACCTCACAAGGGGCTTCCGGCCTCCTCTGCTGGTGAACAGATGCCTGCTGGGCAGGGACCGTCACACACAGGTGTGTCTCTGAGCATTAGAGTCATCTGAGAACTGTTGCCAGAGGCCCCAGGGGAAAGGATTGAAGACCCCACTCTCAGGTCAAGTTGTACATGGCAGTCATTTCTCAAAAAGGGAAAACTTGATTGGGTCTGTGTATTTATTCTTAGGGCTGCCATAAAAAATTACCACAGCCTGGCCGGACATGTGGCTCACACCTGTAATGCCCACACTTTGGGAGGCCGAGTCGGGCAGATCACTTGAGGTCAGGAGTTCAAGACTAGCCTGGCCAATGTGGTGAAACCCTGTATCTACTAAAAATATAGAAATTAGCTGGGCATGGTGGCATGTGCCTATAATCCCAGCTAACTGGGAGGCTGAGGCAGGAGAATTGCTTGAACCCAGGAGGCAGAGGTTTCAGTGAGCCAGGACTGCCACTGCACTCCAGCCTGGGTGACAGAGCAAGACTCTGTCTCAAAAAAAATATATATATATAAAATTACCACCACCCGGGTGACTTAACAGAAATAGAGTCTTACAGTTCTGGAGGCCAGAAGTCTGAAGTTAAGGTGTCAGTAAGGTTGGTTCCTCATGGAGGCTCTGGGGGAGAATCCATTCCATGCCTTTGTCCTTTCTCTGGTAGCCACAGCAATCCTTGATGTTCCTTGGCTTATGACAGTGTAAGTCCAGTCTCTGCTTCTGTCTTCGTGTGGCCCTCTCCCCTGTGACCATGTGTATTATTTTCTGTCCCTTGTAAAGATATCATTGGATACCAAATCTGTGTCACTGGATTTAGGGCCCACTCTAATGAGGATGATCTCATCTCAAGATCCTTACGTTAATTAGATCAGCACATACTCCTTTTCCAAGTAAGGTCACATTCACAGGTACTAGGGACTTGAACTTGGACTTATCTTTTTAAGAGACACAGTTCTGGTCGGGCGTGGTGGCTCACACCTGTAATCCCAGCTACTCGGGAGGCTGAGGCAGGAGAATCACTTGAACCCAGGAAGTGGAAGTTGCAGTGAGCTGAGACCCTGCCGTTGCATTCCAGCCTGGGCAACAGAGCAAGACTCCATCTCAAAAAAGAGAGAGACATAGTTCTACTCATTATAGTCAATAGAAGAAAATGTCTGCAAATAAGAGCTGATGGGGCTGCCCTAGATATATCTGGTACATATTCCTGCCCCTCAGACACATACCCTGGAACATGAGGCATCACAGGAAAATAAGTAGATGAAAGAAGGGTGGGTACAGTGCCTCATGCCTGGAAACCCAACACTTTGGGAGGCTTAAGCAGCCGATCACTTGAGGCCAGGGGTTTGAGACCAGCCTGGCCAACACAGTAAAACCCTGTCTCTACAAAAATACAAAAAATTAGCCTAGCATGGTAATCCTAGCTACTTAGGAGGCTGAGGTGGGAGGATCCCTTGAACCTAGGAGGTGGAGGTTACAGTGAGCCAAGATTACACCACTGTGCTCCAGCCTAGGCGACAGCAAGGCTCTGTCTCAGAACAAAAACGAAGTAGATGAAGGAAAAGTAATGCGAAGAAAAGAGGTTCATCCAAGATGCCCTAGAGACTGGCCACCTCACCAACTGGGCTGTTTCCCGCTTCAGGAGAAGTATGTGCCATCCCTGCTCAGAGTGTCATACACACAGAATTGTGTGACTGCATGAAACATGTATTAAAATTAGGTCAGAATTAAGGTATGGCTGGAATTTGGGTATGAGTCTGCCACTTGTCTGTGTCTCAAGCACTTAAAAACATATCCTGTTCCTGGCACAGGTCCGTGCCTTTCAGGAAGTGACCAGTAGGGAAACAATCGAGGTTTCTAGAACAAAATGCAAGAGTTGGGCTGAGATCACTGCTCTACCTAGAGAGGAGTAGGGCAAGGCCAGTCTGGGTCATGGTCCAGAGCAAGGATGACTGGCCAGCCACAGGAGAGGACGGTGCCCAGGACCTGTGGACGCCTATGTTCCCAATGCGTAAGACAGAGTGCCTAGCTCATTGAAGGTGTTCAGTGAATTTAATGCGTAAATGATTCTACACAAATGGGCATGGGGAAGAAGGGCCTGCAGTTTTTATTCTTTATAAGGTGTCCTTCCTGCACATTCCAGAGCCATCTGAAACCCATTCTGATTGTCACTAGTGCCAGTTCCCTCTTCTGTAAGGGGCAGTAACATTCCGGATGCTGCCTACCTCCCAGGATTGTCCTGAGAGACCAGCGAGATTCTGCATGTGAAGAGAGGCTTTCTCTGTGAATAGTGAAGTTCTACAATGTGACTCATCTTGGCTGCAAGCAGATCCTGTTCTCCGTGTGAGAGTGGGAGACCTCTGTTCATTGCCATTTCTTTTCAGATTCAGCAGTGTTAAGTTGGAAGGTATCCAGGGAAGTTGCATGATGATCACATAGGAAGTGACATCACTTTCCAGCTTGTTTTGGGGGGGCCAAAATCTTGCTCTGTTCTTGGCCAGCACCCCACCTTCCATCCTCCTTCCAACCCATTGTCTTTGTTTGCAATTCAGCCTAGCAGGTTTGGGAAGGCCAATTTTGACTGAGGATGTTATCTTCCCCTCCCCAATGCTGATCTCCTTCCTCCTAGTTACTTGGTAAACCGGGAACCACATCATCAACTCGTTTGAGTAAAAGGTGACATGAGCCATAACACTGCTTTCTTTCCCAGAGGTGGCTGCAAATAACCTGGGTTTCCGGGAGCTAGCATATCACTGTTCCTCTTTTGCTTCTTAATGTTGGTAGTGGGAAAGAGAGGTGGATTTCTGGGCCCAATCTGGTCTGCATTATCATATTTCAGCATCTAGAATAGAGATCACCAACCAGTGTGCCACAGCTAGTCTCAGCTTGCAAATATATTTTGTCCATGTTTTAAAAAAAAATTTTTTTTTTTTTTTTTGAGACAGAGTTTCACTCTTACCGCCCAGGCTGGAGTGCAATGGTGCAATCTTGGCTCACTGCAGTCTCCGCCTCCCAGGTTCAAGTGATTGCACTTACCTCACCCTCCCAAGTAGCTGGGATTACAGGTGTCTGCCACCATACCTGGCTACTTTTTGTATTTTTATAGAGATGGGATTTTGCCATGTTGGTGAGGTTGGTCTCGAACTCCTGACCTCAGGTGATCCACCCACCTCGGCTTCCCAAAGTGCTGGGATTACAGGCGTGAGCCACTGTGCCCAGCCTTTTAAATTGTTTTTTAATTAATTGCCAACACTTTAAACACTGGATATGGCCGGGCGCGGTGGCTCAAGCCTGTAATCCCAGCACTTTGGGAGGCCGAGGTGGGTGGATCACGAGGTCAAGAGATCGAGACCATCCTGGTCAACATGGTGAAAGCCCATCTCTACTAAAAATATACAAAAAATTAGCTGGGCATGGTGGCACGTGCCTGTAATCCCAGCTCCTCAGGAGGCTGAGGCAGGAGAATTGCCTGAACCCAGGAGGCGGAGGTTGCGGTGAGCCGAGATCGCGCCATTGCACTCCAGCCTGGGTAACAAGAGCGAAACTCCGCCTAAAAAAAAAAAAAAAAAAAAAAAAAACACTGGATATTTAAATCTGGATGACTAACACCTCTTGAAAACTCGGCTCATGTGGCCACAGTGGGCCCACAATTTCTGCATGGCAGCAAGTGAGTCGTGGTGCATGCAGCACTCTGCCGGTGGCCACCATCAGCCACTCACATACGCATTTCTGTGGCCCACTGCGAAGAAAGGCCAGTGCAGGGCATGGTGGCATGCACCTGCAATCCCAGCTACTTGGGAGGCTGAAGTGGGAGGACCACTTGAACCTGGGAGGCTAAGGTTAAAGTGAGCCGTGACCGTATCACTGCATTGCAACCTGGGCGACCCTGTTCAAAAAAAAAAAAAGGCCAGCAACAGACGTATGTATCTCTAGGAATTTATGATAGAAGTAGCATTTCAATCAGTGGGAAGGGATGTATTATTCAGTTAATAGTGCTGGATCAATTGACTATCCATTTGACAAAAATGAAGTCTGACCCTTAAACATTAAAATTTTTTAAACTGTAATGAAAATATTGGGGAAAAAAGTTTTGTGATCTTGGAATGGAGAAGATATTAATATATTTGGCTACATAAAAATAAAAACTGGTATGGAAAATAATGCCATTTAAAAGGAAAATAGGGCCAGGAGGGGTGGCTCACGCCTGTAATCACAACACTTTGGGAGGCTGAGGCGGGCAGATCATGAGGTCAGGAGATCAAGACCATCCTGGCCAACATGGTGAAACCCCGTCTCTACTAAAATACAAAAAATTAGCCAGGTGTGGTGGCATGCACCTGTAGTTCCAGCTACTCGGGAGGCTAAGACAGGGGAATTGCTTGAACCCGAGGTGGAGGTTGCAGTGAGCCACAAGATTGCAGTGAACCAAGATCATGCCACTCCACTCCAGCCTGGCAACAGAGAACAAGACCCCATCTCAAAAAAAAAAAAAAAAAAAAAAAAATAGTAAATAGTCTGAGTGTGGTGGCTCATGCCTAATATCCCAGCACTTTAGGAGGCTAAGGTGAGTGGATCACCTGAGATCGGGAGTTCGAGACCAACCTGGCCAAAATGGCGAAACCCCATCTCTACTAAAAATACAAAAATTAGCCAGGCATATTGGTGGGTGCCTGTAATCCTAGCTACTTGGGAGGCTGAGGCACAAGAATTGGTTGAATCCAAGAGGCGGAGGTTGCAGTGAGCTGAGATCATGCCACTACACTCCAGCTTGGGCAACAGAGTGAGACTCCCTCTCAAAAAAAAAAAAAAAATTTGTTTTCTAAGAATCTGTTACAATTCTCTTTCTCATACTTGGCCATTTCTTCTAGTCTCAGTTTCAGCTGTGACTTTATTGTGCAAGACTCCCTTATGCCTCTTCCAGGTTCCAGTCTTCTGAATACTATGGGCTTCTCAGGGTCAATAATCTCTGCTAACATATTCTTCCTTCTATTTTCCACTAGTTCTATTAATGGCACCACGGGTCACCCAAGCCAGAAACCTCAGGGTCTCATTCTCCCTCACTGCCGCTAGCCAATTTGCTAAATCATGTCATCCCTACCAGTGGCAGATTACATTTTCCAAATGTGTATGCAAATATCTGTAACACATGTTCTTTTAGAACTTTGCAC